TCATCCTGATGACGACAATAACCGACATGTTTCGCGGCCCGCGTGTGTCTCCGCTCGTCGTGCCCGTCCCGCCCGCAAGGAAAGACGAGGCCGGAAAATCCTGATGCTGGAGTTCGTGTGCCACAGCAGGTCCGCGGAACGCAGGAGGTCTCGCTTCTTGAACCTTCCGCGGCAGCTCATGGGGGCCTCCCGCACCATCTTGTCGGCTCTTCCGAATCGAGGCTGATCGACGCTAGGCGACGCTACCCGACGCCGAATCGAAGCTAATCGACGCTCATCAACGCTACGTCGGCGCTACCCCAACGATTCCCTGACGCTAGTGGACGCTAGTCGTCGCCAAAGGCGGATTTGAGTTATGATGGTCCAATACATTTTAGCCTGAATCACCAGAAAGAATTTCGAGCACCATGCAAGTACCGAAACTGGAGGGTCTTCCCGCGTCGGGCTCTGGGAGGCGATCGTCCATCGGCACTGCTTCGATACTCTCCGGGATCCTCGAACTCATTTCTGGGATGTGGTCCTCGAGCACGATGGGAGCAGCATAAGACTTGGGAGGGCATACGAGGCCCCCGTGGTTTGCCACCGAACTGAACCGCATGCTGACGATGATCGGAAAGACGTCCTGCGGGCAGGAGGGCGGGCCGCGGGAGCGAGGGGCCGCGGGAGCGAGGGGCCGGGGCAGGCGCGAGGGGGAGAGAGCAGGCGGAAAGAGGGGGAGGGAGCGACGGAGGGAGGGACGGAGAGGGATGGGGGGGGGAAGCGGGGACGAAGGGCAGGAGGAGAGAAGGGGGAGAAGGGCGAGAAGGCGGGGGAGGAGGGGGAGGGGAAGGAGGGGGAGGAGGGGCGGCTGGGGGGAGAAGAGCGGGGCCCGGGGACACGCGCGCGAACCCGCCGATCCCCCGCTTTGCATGGGGGCGGGCAGGCGTGTGAGCCACTCGGCCTGTCTCCCTTCCCCCTGCCCCCCTCCCCGGGGATCCAAAATCGCGCTTGAGAGGGGGAGGGAGGAGGGAGGGAGTGAGGGAGGGAGTGAGGGAGGGAGGGAGTGAAGGGGCCCTGGGACACACCAATAAATACACACCAGTAGAAGGATTCCACCAATTTCCCAATATTTTCTGTGTTTTTGTCTTCCCCCCCCACTTCCCATATTTTCCCATATTCTCCTGGGAGTCGACGATGAGTTGTGTCTGTGTGGTTCTTTCCCTCCTGAGGGAGGGGGGGTCGCCAGGATCCCTAGCGCAGGCCTGGGGCCTCCGGGGAGCCTCCCAAAAGCGAGGGGCTCCTGGGCCGTCCCCTCGGGCCCCGTGGGGAGGAGGGAGGGAGGGAGGGAGGAGGGAGGGAGGGGGAGGGAGGGAGGGGGAGGGAGGGGAGGGAGAAGGGGGGGGAGGGAGGGGAGGGAGGGAGGGGAGGGAGGGGGGGGGAGGGAGGGATATGGGTCGCCAGGGCCCCCAGCGCAGGCCTGGGGCCTCCAGGGAGCCTCCCAAAGGCGAGGGGGGCTCCCGGGCCGTCCCCGCGGGCCCCGTGGGGCCAGCCCACAGGGCCAGAAAACAGCTGGAACAACAAGGAGCAGGAGGAGGACGACGAGGAGGAGAAGGGGGGAGAGGGTGGAGGAGCAGGAAGAGGAGGAGGAGGAGGAGGAGGAGGAGGAGGAGGAGGATGAGGAGGAGGAGGAGGAGGAGGAGGAGGCGGACGAGCAGCAGCAGCAGCAGCAGCAGCAGCAGCAGCAGCAGCAGCAGCAGCAGCAGCAGCAGCAGCAGGAGGGTGAGGTTTGTGTGATTTTCGCGGCTTTCGCTGCGCTCCCTCCGCCCCCTTCTTTCGGCCGCGTCCTCCGCCCCGCCCCCTCTTGCATCGTGGCACACTTCGCTCTGACGGCGCCCCGTGCAGGGCCTTTCCGCCAGCGCAGACGGCCCCTGCCTCGCCACCGACGCAAACAAGTATGATGTTCGCAAGCTTCGATTCCTAGTCTTCCGAGCGTCAGGATTCGGATTGAGGATGCTGCCAATCCGCATGAGAAGGACGCACGGTGAGGATGCAAGGGCTTTGGAAGGCCATGCCGACGCTTTGCGGCCAGCGAAAGCGACCAAGAATGGGCCGAGGGGGAAGGACGCAAAGGTAACCTTGGAGAGTTGCTCATCCTTGCTATGCGGGCTGACTTCATGCTGCGGGACCCTGCGCGGTCTCGGAGGGCTTGGGCGCTCGAAGGACGCAAAGGCAACCTTGGAGAGTTGCTGACCCTCACTATGCGGGTTGACTGTATGCTGCGGGACCCTACGCGGTCTCGGAGGGCTGGGGCGCTCGAAGGGCGCAAAGGCAATCTTGGAGAGTTGCTCATCCTTACTATGCGGGCTGACTGCATGCTGCGGGACCATGGGCGGTCTCGGAGGGCTTGGGCGCTCCTAGTCGCGCGCGCATTCGCCGCTGAAACGACCTCCTCCGCCCTCTCGCCCAGCGCAAGGCCGCGACGCCAAAACGTGCGTGCGCGTGTGAGCCCTGCCCTGTCTGAGGTGGCCGGTCGCGCGCGCGCGCCCGTTCCAGTATCGGATCGTGTGTTCTTCTCCGCGGGGGCCTTCTGGAAGCCTCCGAAGGCCTGTCGCAGACGCAGGCGCAAGGACCGATCGGGCCAGACTCTTGGCATCCGACGGGGGAGCGCGCTGTCGTGGCACGGGCAGCTCAATCCTTCCTCCTCCTCCTCCTCCTCCTCCTCCTCCTCCTCCTCCTCCTCATGATCATAATCATGATCAGCATCAGCATCAGCATCAGCATCAGCAACATCAAAATCATCATCCTCCTCCTCTCATCACCATCATCATCAGCATCATCATCATCATCATCATCATCATCATCATCATCATCATCGTCGTCATCCTCCTCATCATCAGCATCAGCATCAGCATCAGCATCATCATCACCATCACCATCACCATCACCATCATCACCATCACCATCAGCATCAGCATCATCATCAGCACAGCATCAGCATCATCATCATCACCATCTCATCATCATCACATCAGCATCAGCATCATCATCATCATCGTCATCGTCATCGTCATCGGCATCATCATCATCATCATCATCATCATCATCATCATCATCATCATCATCATCATCATCATCATCCGCACCATACTACTCTTGCTCCTCCTCCTCCTCCTCCCCCTCCTCCTTCTCCTCCTCCTCCTCCTCCTCCCTCCTCTCCCCCTCCGCCTCCTCTCCTCCTTCCCCTCATTCCACAACCTCCTACTTCCTCTCCTCCTCCTCCTCCTCCTCCTCCTCCTCCTCCTCCTCCTCCTCCTCCTCCTCCTCCTCCTCCTCCTCATCCTTCTCCCCCTCATCACCATCCTCATCCTGGCGGTCCGGGGTGAAGGTCTGTATTCCGTTGGGGAAGGCCTCGTCGATGCCACGCTCGGTGTAAGACTTGCCATTCCTGGTGGCACGAAGGGGTGGAGGCACAATCGCTAAGTGTTGCTCAGCCCCTGGTCCAGCACACAGTGTAGCCATCAGAGGCAGCCTGGATGACAAGGAGCGGTCAGACGCAAGCAGGACGACAAAGCTGATTACAACGGTGAGATGTGCACAATCCTCCCGCCTCCGTGCCGTGCCGTGAGGCGCTGACACGAGTGTCCTCAGATACCCTGAACTCCTCGAGTGGTGCAAGCGCTCTTCAAGGGCCCCAGGTCCTCAACTCAGGGGATTCCTGGGCGCCTCTGGGCGCCTCTGGGGTGCACCGCGGAACTTCTCGCGAGGCTTCGGGAGCGAGGTTTGGGGGCCAAAGACCACGGAGCCCCCTCTCCACCTCTCTGTTCCCTCCGCAGCTGTGGAGCACAAGACGGCCGAGAGCCGGCGGCGCTGGTGGATCCGCCAGAAAAGTGGCGGGGCGAACTGGCAGCGCGACTGCGGCGCCGAGGAGCAGCGCCAGTTCCCCGCTTCTGTCGAGCGAGAGAGAAGACTCACATGCACTGCCCATGGAAACTGAACCACCGACGGGTGCATACACAATTGGTTCACATCTTCTATTCCGTTGAATCACGACTGGCCAAGAGCCGACCCACAATGAGCCCACAATTCGTTCACGAGCAGCACCACGACACAACGCGAAACTGGACAACTCTTATCTCACACTTCAGTCACACTCGGTTTCGAGACGATTCGCGAATGAGCCAGCACTGCCCCACAGAAAGTTTACAATGCGTTCACAAGCAGCGCAACATTGGTTCCCGCTGTCAACATTTAACGCACAGTGGATCCACACTCGATTCACAATGGAAACCAGCATGATCCAACCTTGGTTCGCCGTGTATTCAATTCACACAACGACACCACGGCACATCGGCACGACAGCACACAAACACCGCCACACTGCGAAACAACGACAGCATGACACTGCGACACCACGACACCACGACGCCACGGCATCGCGACACCACGACACGGCAACACCACGGCGATCTGATCACAGTTGAGATGACATGTCATCCTCCTTGGTTCACGACAAACCTCAACCGATCCACAAGTCTTTTACCATTGATTCGGAGCTCCTTAACGGTATGACACGCAAGCCGTCCACGATTGATCCACAACCGGATTCCAGCTTCGTCCATGGCGCTTCTACCACGGACGTGCAATAGGCGCTTCATCGAGAGATGGCACAAAGAGTCCCACCAGGAGCCTCGCGCACGACGACACGGCAGGCCCCGGCGTCGACTTCCAGACCGCCGGCGCGGCACACCGCGCGGAGCAGAGGGCGCTGGCGCGCGACCTTTCGCGGGCAGCTTGCACGCGAACGTCCGCGCAACCGCCCCCCTTTTGTCCTATGCATCTCGGCCGAGTCCCCACCCGATCCACAGTCGGATTCCACTGCTAGCCAAGGCGCCACGGAGACAACTCTGTGTTGTCGGCGGCGAGCCGCGTTCAGCAAGCGGTCAAGCAAGCGGCGGGGCGCATCCGCTGCGAATGGAGGCACAGGGGCACGGGCGGGCGAGGGGCGAGGAGAAGGCAGGCCGCGGGACTGTCGGGAAACCCTCAGATCCAGTAGACCTTCGGGATGCGCCCGGAGCAGGCACACACCACAGCACCACGGAGACACAGGGCTCCGTGCCACAGCGACCCTCCCGCCACCGCCGCCCGCCGCCGAGGAGCCCGGGCGTTGCCAGAGGCGCCCCCGGCCCAAGGCTGTCTCGCGCTGGGCCCGGAAGGCCTCAAGGACCGCCCCTCGGCGCAGCCGACGTGTGCGTCCTTCAGTCGTAAACCTGGTGCCGCACACAACCACACACATACACATATGTATATATATTATATATATATATATATATCAACATATATATATATATATGTATGATGAGTGTGCGTGCATATCTTCTTCGCTAGAACCACGCGCGCGCTTCGCGCGCTTGGGTTCCAGCGAGCTCAAGTTGTAGTTTAAAGTGTTCGGCATCGGAGGATACAGATTGTCACAAGGATCGCGCACCTCAGGGAATTCCACCTGAGCACCTCAGACAGGCTTGGCTGAGGGTCCCCCCGCCCATGCCGGCACACCCCTCGCAGGCATCGCGTCCCACAGAGAGGCCCACTCAATTACGCCACCAGAGATGAGGTTCGCACAATGGCACACCCCTCACGCGGACCGTGCCCCGCAAGTAAATGTATTTGCGGCACCAGAGAGAGCTTCATAACATCGCCCCGCTCACTTCGGCACACTTCGCACACGTATCGGGGCCCGCAAGGACATCCACGGACGGCCCCAAAGACAAGGGTCGCATCCCGCCATCTTCGACACACCTCGCACACGGATCGTGATCATGGCCCACAAGGATCTCCACCCACGGCCCCAGAGGCAGGGGTTCGCACTGCGCCCCCCCCGGCCATTGCGGCACACCCCGTCACGTGGATCGTGCCCACAATGAGCACCACCTGAAAGGCCCGGAAGGTTCGTACAATGCCCCCCCCCCCCCGCCCATGTTGGTACACCTTTCACGCGAATCATGCCCCAGAATAGGCAGCTTTGCATGGCGTCCCCGAGCCCATTTCGGAACATGCCTAGCACGGGGCGTGCCCAGAGGAGGTCCACCTGCGACCTCAGTGGGCGTTTTCGCGCGGCCCTTCACGCGGATCGTGCCTCACAAGGAGTTTAGCGCACCCGTGCACGCGTGCCCAGCGGGAGCCATCTTTCCGCATTGCCCTGGCCTTTTTGGCTGTCTTAGAGCGTTCCTGGCCCGTCGGACGCTACTGGAAGCTGGTAGCCGTCTTTGAGGCCTGTCTTCGCCGACTTCAAGTCCACTTGGAGCGCTTCGGGGCTGTCTTGGAGGCAATCTCAGGCGTCTTGGGTCCTCTTGGGCCGTGTTGGGGCCCTCCTGGGGCTTTTGGAGCTTCTTGGGCCGTCACGGGGCAATCGTGGAGGCCTCTTGGGCGCTCTGGGGGCGATCTTGGGAGCGTCTTATGCCATCTGGACCGTCGCCAGGCCGAAACACTACATGTGTATATATATATATATATATATATATACATTTATACATATATATATATATATACATATACATCGAGATCTAACAAATGCAAAATCCTTCGAAAGCCAGAGGGAAATAAATGGTTCTAGCTTCTTCGTGTTTTTCCCCCATTTGTGGTAGAGGCCTCGGCCCCTGGGGGCCCGGGCCCCGGTGCGCCGTTCTGTAGGAGGGGCCTCAAGGCGTCTGGAGCCGTCGCCGCGGCCTCCCCGCAGCCACTGGGGGCCTCTGCAGGCCCTGGGTCGCCGAAGCCCATTTGTGTTAGAGGCCGCGGCCACGGGGGCCCGGGCCCTGGTGCGCCGTTATGTATATATATATATATATATATATATATATATACATACATATATATGTGTATATATATACATATAAAAGAGGGGGAGAGAGAGAGAGAGAAGGAGCGAGAGAACGCGAGGGAGTGCGAAAGGGAGCGACGAAACCTGTCAAAGTAAAAGCAAGCAAACAGACTGGATGCTAAAGAAATTGTAGTCGGACCTGGACGCCCATCCCATGTGTTCTCCTCCGCCTCCTTCCCTTCCTCCTCCTCCTCCGCATCCTGCTGTTCCTGCTCCTGCTCCTGATCCTGCTCCGCCTCCTCCTCCTCCTCCTCCTCATTCTCCTCCTCACTTCTTCTCTCCTCCTCCTCCTCCTCCTCACTTCTTCTTCCTCCCCCCTCCTCCTCCTCCTCCTCCTCCTCCTCCTCCTCCTCCTCCTCCTCCCCCTGTGTGTCTGAAGGGGGACAACTTGGGGTACGATGCCTGCTTCCATCAGCTTCCGCCAGGCATCCACCAGTGACATGTGGGGAAGTTCTGATTGTTCCGTTTTGCCGGCGAACTGCTGATGCCTGTCCTGACCCCCACTGCAAACACATCGTCTTTCCCATCGTCTTTCCTCCCCGCCCAGGAGAAGAAAAGGTCCCGCATATGAACGTGACCATGTCTGGAGGACCACTCTCACCGAGCCCAGCCTCGGCAAATCTGGCATCCAGCTTGTCGGCCATGGCCTGATCGGGCGACGTTCCCTCCCTCGCGTTGTGGAACATGCGGGCCTGAGCCTCTCAGTCTCTCGTGCCACCAGTGTTTCGATCCCACCCCTCCGACGAAAAGATGAACTCGAGACAACCCCGTCCCTACACGGGCTCCCCTTCCATCTCTCTCTCTCTCTCTCTCTCTCTCTCTCGTCTGGCGCTGCTAGACTCCAGTGTCCCTTTGCCTCGGGCATACGGAATGCACATCACAAGTTCCTGTAGAATTCACCGAATTCAGATTCGCTGGATACGCGGAATGCGAAAACGGCGTGCTCCTCAAAGACGCCCAATCGATACGAACTGGCGTTCACGCAAGACGCTCCACCATTTGACCATCGGGTTGCAAGGGGCGGCCCAAAATCACGAGACACCAGGTCGGCCTACGCAAGAGAAGCTGCGCTATGGCCTCTCGCCGAAAGCCTGCGAAACAACCATCGGCCAGGCATGAACGACATCATGCACAGAACACCGCGGTAGCGAATTGTAGTACCCAGAACTGTGTTACAACGGGACAATCTAGATAGCTGGCTCCAAATACAACGAGCGGAGCGTGAACACAAATGGCACGGCATCAGAAATAGCACCGGTGAAACAGATCATCCGCCCATATCGCCGTCCAATTATAGTATCATGATCAGTAACTTACCTTGCACGCGTTGATATATGAGTACGCGTATGCATATCATTGTACACTTCTACCTTGGATGTGTACGAGAAAGTACCATATGGGATCATCTGTGCCATATGCGTCTCTCCCCTTCCTCTCAGGTCCATCCCTGGCCTTCGCCTTCCCAGTTCCCCAATGCTGTCGATTAACTTCTCGCACCACCTTTTCCCTTACGTATATCATCCTATGATGTCCGTTCCTTCTCTCTACCTCCGTTCCTCTCACGTGCCCTGTATCCCCAATCCCGTTCACCTCTGTTTTCTCACCTCCGCACCCCCGCTCATCCTCATCCTCATCTTCATTGTCCTTCTCCTCCTTCTCAACGTCGTCCACATAATCCCCCTTCACCTTGTACTCAGATTATAAGTTCTCCTCATCCTCTCCACTGTCCTCCTTGCCCCCTTACCCCTCAACTTCCTTCACCCCTGCACTCTCTGCTCCGAACCCCTTCTCCCCAGCCTTCCCCCCCATGGCCATCAAGAGTTGATAATGCTCAAACTGCTTGTTGTTAGCGGCGCTAATTACTTGAAGCGACGGCGGATCACTTCAGACCAACCCCCCTCCGTAAGCTTTTCCTCGCTCCCAGGGCGCTCCCGGTAACGGCGCCCGCTTTCGCCCCGCTCTCCAAGAGACAGCGCCCGCGGTTGAAAACAACGGCGCCCAAATTTCAAGCGACACCAAAAAACACCGCCCAGGGTTAAACACAGAAGCGCCCAGGGTCGAAATCAACAACGCCCAAACTTCGAGCGACATCAAACAACAGCGCCCAGGGGCCGAAAACAACGCGCCCACATTCCGCGCGATATCAAGTAATAACTCCCCAGGGGCGACAACAGTAGAGCCCAAACTTCGCGCGATATTAGAAAACAGTAGCACCCTGGGTCGAGAACGATAGCGCCCAAACTTCGCGCGAGCTCTTATCCACGTCCAGGGTCGAATACAACTTCGCCCATGGTCAAAAAACAAAGACAACAACAGGGCACAGGGTCGAAAATAACAGCGCGTCGGCGTCGTCGACGTCGTCGTCGCCGTCGCCGCAGTCGCCGCCGCCGTCGCCTTCGTCGTCGTCGGCGTCGCTGTCGCCGTCGCCGTCGTCGTGTCGTCGTCGTCGTTGCCGACGTCGTCGGCGTCGTCGTCGGCGGCGGCGGCGTCGTCGGCGTCGTCGTCCGCCCCTGACGTGGCGGCGCGGGTCCGCGGCGAACCCCGCGCCCCCCTCGCCCTCCTGCGCTCCTGCTCCTTTCCCGGGTTTCCAGGAGGAGGTCCCTCTATCACTCATCGTCGCAGCTGGACCCTCGCCAAAACGCAGAGGAGGAGATGAGGGGGAGGAGGAGGAGGAGAGGAGGAGGAGGAGGAGGGAGGAGGAGGAGGACTCGGAGGAGGAGGTGGATTTGGGGAGGGAGGAGGGAGGTCGCCCCGGGAGGCAGTGAATGCGAAAGGACAACGCCGAGTCTGACGCGATCCGCCGTCGGCCTTCCTCACGCGAGGGGGGAGGGGGAGGAGGGGGCGTGGGTGGCGAGGGTGGTAAGTCAAGTCGGGGGAGGAGGAAGGAACGAGAGGAGTGACGAAATTGGGGCAAGAGGAGGGGGGGAGGAGGCCAGAGGATCCAGAGGATATGAGGTAGCAGTGCCCGCGGCGCCCTGTCCCTCCGCTTTGCCGCTGCCGCTGCTCTGCTGCAGCCCCTGGGGCCCAGAGGCCCCGCGAGCCCGGCGCCGCATGGGTGGTTCATGGGCTGCCATCCCTTGGTGTTGGGCCAAGTCGAGGCCGCTCTGAGGCGGCACGCCGTGTGGCGTGAGACAGACCTTGCGCCCCCTGCGCACTGCATCCCAGCAATTGTTGAGACGGTGCGCGGCTGCAGTTCCCGGGCAGCCAGAAGTCGTTCGGCAGCTGCCCAGCAGAGAGTTGCAAGTATTGGTGGTTGCGGTATGTTCGTGCCAGTTATTGCGTTGGCTATAGCCCTGGAGTCTGGGGGGGTGCGAATTCCATCAGATGATTGGTCGTCCTTGATCGCTCGAATGGGCCCTATGCCAGATCTGCCAGTGCCAATACCCGGCCCAGCTGAGCCAGACCCCCCAGCGTCGTCATCAGCGTCATCAGCATCAGCGCTGGTGCCGCTGGCGCTGCCCCCCCCGTCGGACCCCTCCGAGCAGCAGCTGGCGCAAATGACTGCAAGATCCTCCCGATCGTCGGCTTCGTCGACAACGGGCCCCCGGACCGGCCTCGGGACGGCCCCGCCAGCCCGCCCACCGGCTAAAGGTGATGAGGTGATGAGGTGATGAGGCGACGAGGTGATGAGGTGAGGTGATGGCGCCATGCGACGGGAGGGGGGGGGGGAGAGAGGGAGAGAGAGAGAGAGAGAGGGAGGGGGGGCCGAGGAAATGAGGAGATGAGGCGGAAGGGCGGGTAGGGGGGGGTCCAAGGACCAAGGGGAGGTAGATGGGGTGGCGAGGCGGGCGGCGCGATGGGCTGCGGGGAAGATGGAAGGGGGGGGGGCAGCGGGGGGCAGAAGGGCAGTGGGGCAGAGGGGACAGTGGGGCAGTGCGAGGCTCCCCCGCCCCCTCCCCCCGCGGCGCTTTTCCCCGCGGCGAGGAAGCGTCGCGCACCCAACGAGTACCTCGCCATGAGTCACCAGGCGCTGGTGCAGGCGCGACGCCTGCCGCCAGCCGCCCGGCGGTCCTTGCGAGGGGGGGGCGATGGGGGGCGAAGGGGCAGTGATTAGGGATGTTTTGGTAAGTGGGCACACCGGGAGAGAGCCAGGGGGCGGGGGGGGGGCGAGGGGGAAGTCGACGAGGATGGGGCGGGAGAGGGTGGACGAGTGAACGAGTGAACGGAGGTGAGCTTGCATGAGGAACAGGAGGTCCTCCTCCTCTGCATCGTCGTCGTCTCGTCGTCCTCAGTCCTCTTCCTCCTCTCCTCCTCCTCCTCCTCCTCCTCCTCCTCCTCCTCCTCCTCCTCCGCTTCCTCCTCCGGCGCCTCCGAGCCCTCGAGGAACGAGGTTAGAGAGTTCGAGGTTGCGCGGTTGTGCGATTTCTGGCCCTTCCCGCGTCGCCGCGCCTCCACGGCTGGGTTAGCTTCGAAATCCTCGTCAAAACGTTAAAACGCCTCAGAGGAGGAAGGGGGGGGGGGGAAGAGGGGGAGGGGGGTGAGGGGGAGGCGGTGGAGGAGGAGGTGGAGGAGGAGGAGGAGGAGGAGGAGTAGGGGGAGGGGGAGGAGGAGGTGGAGGAGGAGGAGGAGGAGTGAAGGAGGTTGGGTGGGGAGGAGGAGATCAAGGACGATGACGAGGGCGAGGAAGCTGGGTGCTCCGGCCGGCGGGGGGGAGTGAGGAAAGGAGAGGAAAGAGGGGAGACAGGAGGAGGGGGAGGAGGAAAGGAGGAGGAGAAGGAGGAGAAGGAGGAGGGGGGAGGAGTCCAGGGAGGGGGATGGGGGAGGGGGAGGGAAGTTGGCGCGTTCGACCGGGGCGCGACGCGACGTCTGCGCCGCGAGGTGATCCTGGACAGGGACCGCGAGCTCGCCGCCAAAGAGAGCGCGATCGTTGCCTTCCAGGCAGCCGCGAGGAGGACAAGGCGGAAGGGCGCGCTGGCCGCCAAGCAGGCCCGGACGAGGAGGGGAAGGAGGAGGGGAGGGAGGAGGAGCATCAGCAGCAGCAGCGAGATGATGAGATGATGTGCTGATAATGATGCTGATGATGCAATGTGATGACGATGCCGACGACGGCGATGACGATGAGGACGAGCAGCAGAGGGGGGGGAGAGGAGGGGGAAGAGGAATCCGAAGAGGACGGGGGGATGAGGCGGGCCGGGGGAGGAGGAGCTGATGAGAATGAGGATGAGAGAATGAGGGCGTCGATGGGGATGGGGGAGGGGGAGGAGCAGGGGGGGGAGGAGGAGGAGAGGATGAGGAAAAGGGGGAGGAGGGGAGGGGGAGCCTGTGGAGGAGGAGGAGGAGATTGATGATGAGGAGGAGGAGTAGGGGAGTAGGAGTGTGCTCCTCTTCTTTCTCCCCCTTCTCCTCCTCTTCCTCCTCCTCTTCCCTCCACCTCGTCCTCCTCCTGACCTCCTTACCGTCTCCTCCTCCTCCTCCTCCTCCTCCTCTCCTCCTCTCCTCCTCTTCTTCCTCCTCCTCTCGTCCTCTCCTCCCGCCCATCCCCCTCCCCCCCCTCGTCCCCTCGTCCTCTTCCTCCTCCTCAGCCGGCCCTCCTCCTCCTCCCTTCCTCCTTCCTCGTCTCCCCCTCCGTCCTCCTCTCCTCTCTTTCTCTCCCCCACTCTCTTCCCCCTCCTCTCCTCCTCCTCCTCCTCCTCCTCCTCCCCCTCCT